AACATACAGAACTAAAATTATAAACTTACTCCCACTAATCTTCAGATATATACATCGATCGACGATGTTCTCCTTAAATCCAAAAGATGTAATGGTATCATTGAACTTAATATACCATTGTCGGGAAGCTTGTTTAAGTCCGTATATTGACTTCTTTAATTTACACACCATATGTTCTTTTCCCTCAACCACAAAACCTTCAGGTTGATCCATATAGACTGCTTCATCTAAATTCCCATTCAGAAAGGCGGTTTTCACATCCATCTGATGGAGCTCTAGATTATAATGAGCTACCATTGCCATGACAATCCTTAAGGAGTCTTTCTTAGAGACGGGTGAAAATGTCTCTTGATAGTCAACACCACTTTTCTGAGTGAAACCCTTGGCAACAAGTCTGGCCCTGTGTCTTTCGATATTGCCATTAGAGTCGTGTTTGGTCTTCCAGACCCATCTATTACCAACTCTTTTACAACCTTCAGGCAAATCAACAAGGTCCCAAACTTCATTTTTATACATAGATTTCATCTCTTCTTTCACGGCAGCTAACCATTTATCAGAATGCTCACTTTCCATGGCTTGTGAAAATGAAACTGGATCATGATAGAGTCCTAAATCAGATTCTAACTCGTGAAGGTAAATCTCATAATCATCAGAAATTGCAGGCCTTCGATTTCTTGTAGACCTTCTTAATGCGATTTCATGTGGTTCATCTATGTTAGGTTCATTCTCAATAGCAATATCAGGTGGTGCTTGACCGTTCATTTGTTGTTCCTGCAAATCGTTATCATGCTCAACATGTACAGGAGCAACAACTTGAGAAGAGGGTAGAGGTAAAGATATTTGCACTCTAACTTCTTGAATTTCCACATTGCGTGGCTCTAAGCTCCCACTAACTTCACCATTCTCAATGAACCTAGCATTTCCAGTTTCAACAATTCTCGTACTATGGTTAGGGCAATAAAATCGACACCCCTTAGATTTTTCTGGATAACCAATGAAGAAACCACTGATTGTTCGTGAGTCCAGTTTCTTTTCATGTGGATTATAAATTCTCACTTCCGCTGGGCAACCCCAAACATGCAGGTGACTTAAACTGGGTTTCCTTCCCGTCCACAGTTCAAAAGGTGTCTTAGGAAGTGCTTTACTAGGAACCCTGTTTAACAAATACACAGCAGTCCTTAAAGCGTGCATCCACAATGATTTGGGTAAAGATGAGTTGTTTAACATATTCCTAACCATATCCATTAAAGTACGATTCCGCCTTTGTGCAACACCATTTTGTTGCGGTGTTCCCGGCATAGTGTATTGAGCACAAATACCACGTCTTTCTAGGAACTTAGCAAATGGACCAGGGCACTGTCCACTTTCATCATATTTTCCATAATATTCTCCACCCCTATCAGATCTGACAATTTTCACCTTTCTTTCTAATTGCCTCTCAACTTCATTGATAAACACCTCAAGGGTATCTATCGACTGAGATTTTTCATGCAGCAAATAGATATATCCATAACGTGAAAAATCATCGATAAAGGTAATGAAATACCTTTCTCCACCAAGTGATGGAACATCAAAAGGCCCACAAATATCAGTGTGTATAATTTCAAGGAGATGTGAGCTTCTTGTGGCTGCTTTCTTAAGTGTGTGTTTTGTGTGTTTTCCTTTAATACACTCAACACAAATTCCAAGATCAGTAAAATCCAAATGAGGAAGGATTTCATTCTTTACTAGCCTTTCCATTCTTTCTTTGGATATGTGACCCAAACGTTTATGCCACAAGTAAGCAGAGGATTCATCAAACAAACCATGTTTAATACCAACATTATGATGAAAGGTTAAGAGAGTCTCAGCGAATAGGGTATCAAGCTTTAGTTTGTACAAACCATCAACAAGGGTACCAGAACCCAATAAAACATTTTGTTTGAACAAACTAATAGAACCATTTCCAATGTTCCAAAAATACCCAGCCTTATCTAGTTGAGACACCGAAACCAAATTACGAGAAATAGAAGGAGCATAAAGGGTATTGACAAGGTCCAAATGATGACCAGTATCTAAAACCAAACGATAAGTCCAATAGCTTCAACTGAAACTTTGGCTCGGTTTCCCATATAGATGAACTTCTCATTTTGCCTTATGGTTTGGGTCGTAAGGAATCCCTGCATCGTTTTGGAAACATGAATGGTACAACCAGTGTCAACCCACCAAGTATTATAAGGAACCTCAGTTAAATTTGATTCGAAACATACTGAAGCACTAGGCTTACCCTTTCTTTCGAACCATGCCTTTCTTTTCAAGCAATCTTTCTGATAATGTCCGACTTTCTTACAGAAGCGACATATATCCTTACTTGGTTCCTTCTTGTGGATTTTGGCAGATGACTCATTAAGCTCTGATAGTCATTCCTTGCCCTTCCCATTCTTGTTCCATGGTTTCTTTCCAGCTCCTTTATGACCAACAAGATTGGCAGAATGATTTCCTGGTTTCTTAAGCCTTGCTTCCTCTTGAATGAGCATGCTTTGTAACTCATGCACATTCCATTTATCCTTTAGAGTATTGTAATGCACATGGAATGTGCCATACTCTGGAGGTAAGGAATTAAGGATGAACGTTACTAGGAAATTTTCATTCACTTCCATTCCCATGGTCTTTAGTCTTGCTGCAATGTTTGTCATTTCGACGATATGCTCATGCATGGTACGAGAACCATCAAACTTCATGGTGGTTAGCGTACCCATTAGTGTCCCAGCAAGCGACTTATCAGCAGACTCAGATTGAGAGCTTTCTTTCACGGAATTCATAAATTCCTTAGCACTTTCAGTATCATTGAAAGTTGACTTAATGTTGTTTGCTACAGTCATTCACATAAACATTAGGCTTAGTCTGTTAGATCTTTCCCAAGCTTTATGGAAAGACTTTTCCTCAGCACTGCTAGCATCAGTAAGAGCAGCAGGTTTCTCACTTAAGAGTGCCAAATCAAGATCCAGAACATCGAGGTGAAACTGAACCTGTTCAGCCCATTCAGAGAAGTTGAGGCCATTAAACTTAACAACAGACGTGGCTTGCGAATGAAGAGAAACAGGAACAGATGCTGCAAACATATATAACATGTAGTCACACATTAATGCTTTGGGTAATAAGCATAAACTATAATACAGATTCGGAAACATAAACATAAAACATATATTGGTGCTACCTTTGGGCAAAACAACAATATATATGCGATAAATAATCGTAATTGATGCTCAAAATAATCATATAATTAGTGATAGACATACTCAAATTAGATATACTTGCAATCTTTGGATATACTAAATATATCTAACCAAGCACATCAATTTACCACAATAATGTTCATGAATTATAAAACGAGCAATCAACCTTTGGGCGATTCGAAAATATTTTATAATCACAACTTCAACTTTAAAGCATCACATAAACATTAGTAGTTGAACTTAATTCAACTTGATATCTATAAACCTTCTAATTTGGTCACTTTGGTGACTAACAAATTTAATCATAACATAGATATCAAAGATATAATTTAACTCAAATCAAAGCAATTGTTAATTATAATTCTCAAAACACATACACAAAACTTGTTTCATTAATGTTTTATTGTATTTTATTTTATTATAATAATTACTTAACTGATCAATCATCAATCCTACTGATCAAATTCCAATTCATTCTTTGCCCCTCGTTGCCATCTATTGGCTTCATATATATAATTACCTACTGATCAAACCTACTGATCAAGTATATATAATTAACATCAAGCCAATAATCACAACTCTGCGCAAGACCTGGCTAATCTATCTGTGAGACAAACCATGAGTAATATTAAACATGCTGACTACCCATCTCTTTGGATTAAACAGGACACTCTGTAAGCCCAATTGCACCCATATAAACGACAAAGCAAGAATGGCGAACTGATGGAATTTGACAAGCATAATTGCACCCATATAAACGACAAAGCAAGAATGGCGATAATAATAGAAACCCTACAGCCGAATTGAATGGCTCTCATACGCAGAGCTTGGCGCACAGATGCAGCGGAAATAAAATACGTAAGCGAAAATCATCTATTCATGTAAACCTAAGGCTCTGATACCACATGTAAACATAGATCATAATAGCATGGATCTTAGAATTAGATGATTTCACGAATCGATAATAGATCGGGAAACCTACCTCGATCCATGACGAGAGCGGCGGCGGCGCTGGATTAGTAATCACCGGAATTGAGTTTCTCCCTCTTGACCCCTTTAGGTTTTAGGTTTAGAAATTTCTGTGATGGCTAAGAAATTCTACGTAATGGGTTGAGGGAGGACCAATCCTAGAGCTTCTTTATATAGACCCACCATCAGGGCATATTAGGAATTTACCTTTCATTAACCTAATCAATATAGGATTTACCTTATATTAAATCATTAAGTGATAATTACACTTGGGCCACAATTATTCCCTAATAACCTACGGGAATTGGGCTTACAATCTAGTGTATTTCTCTCTAAAAGCCTCGGTTGTTCTTCCCCAATTATCTCTCAAATCCCTAATCCTCAATGATATATTTCTCTTCCAAGTTACTACTATTGCTTCTCAATACCTAAATCCCTTATATCACATCTTGTCATGATAACATGTGCTCAAATATCCGTGTTTCTTGCACACATACAACCCTTTGTGTTAAAAAGTAACGACATTAAGATGCCATTGGAAATGTTGACAACAAGCTTATGTGGACATCATTTCAATTTCAAATCACCACATCGTGTCACCAGTCAGCCAAATCGTATTTCAAAATACATTCGTATAATCAAATTTTGATGCAAATGACATAATCATTTATGTTCAATAAAACCGTTAAATTTAAAAAAAAAAAATTGTTCACTAGATTAACGACAAAAGCTAAAGTAGACTAAATAATATCATGTCATCATGCTTTACTGGTCAAATTTTGGAACTATTGTATTTTGCAGTTATGTATTATGAATAGCATATTTCAAATTTTTTTCATATATACACATAGCACATAGCACGAAGCGAGCGGGCAATATCGAATAACACTATTAATAAGCTTGTCAACCAGTATAAACCGATTAGAGGGTTACAACATCACACGTACGGAACATTTAGAGCAGCCACATGAAAGTCTGTGTTGCAGATAATGCATCATAATCTTCGTCATCATTTTGTGAATGGTGAATATGTACACAGTTCAAGGCTTCAAGCTGGATTAGCAACATAACTGCTCGAATCGATGCCAAAGCCTCAAGTAGATAACACAAACTCCCCTAGAAACTGCTTGTCTTGGCAAATATATCAAGGAGGTTCCTCGTATTACTCCCCTCTGTACCTCGGCTTTCGCTTTTCTGCAAAAGCTGCCAGGCCTTCCAGTCTATCTTTCGTGTTCAGCAGCTGCTCATAACACTCTTCTTCCAAGTCCAGTGCTGCTTGCAGATCAACTTCGATCCCCTCGTTGATGGCCTTCTTAGCCATCCTAATTGCTATTGGACCCTGTCAAACTTGAGCGTATTAACAAAGTCGATTTCCACCCACCATTTTGTTTCCTAATCTGTACAACCTATTCACTTCCAAGAGCTCCCGAGTGTTAGAATCATCAAAGATAAACGTTACTGTACCTTGTTGTTGATTTCTCGAGCAATTTCAAGTGCTTTTGGACGAGCTTCCCCAGCAGGTACAGTATAATTGGCGAGTCCTGCAGCATGGTCCACTGTCAAAATTGAATGCTGATGGATAACATAAAGCACATATGAAAAATAATGTAAATGACACAAAGCTTATACCAATGGACATTGCCTCCTTGGCTCCAATCCTTCGACCAGTAAATATAAGCTCTTTTGCCACGGCTTTCCCTACAAGTCGAGGAAGTCTCTGAGTCCCACCAGCCCTGTCAAGTACATTCTATTACACCCTGATCTCTTTCGAGCAAGTAACTTTATGAAACTATTTAAGGCGAAGCCGTTATCACTTATCAGATGATACTCTTATCTCTGATAAGAGGGATTCCATACAGCAAAGTACTAATGTCAACAAAGCATATACCCAGGAATTATTGCCAGTCCTGTTTCTGGCAATCCCAGAACCGCATTTTCTCCTGCATAAAATTCAATTTATGCCAGTTAGAGCATGTCGCGACATCAGTAAGGTTACATTGTTGGTTACTCTTAATTACTCAAAACTAACCACAAATCCGTAGATCACACGACAAAGCCATTTCGAGTCCACCACCCAATGCTGCTCCTTCAATAACAGCAATGGTAGGAACACGAAGAGCCTGGATTAATATAAATGCAGTACGAATTCAAATACATTAGGCTATAATCTTCATGTGGTCAAAGGTTGCGGGAAGTTCTCTAAATGACACTTTCGAACAAAGACTATTTTCCTTCATTTAGCATCAGAGGCAGACAGTAGATATAGCAGTTAGAGTGCAAGAACTGAACCTCTAAGAGCGCAAATGTCGATCGCAATGAGTTGACGAAGAACTGAACTTCTGATGCAGTCATTTCCTTGCGTTCCTGCCCATCCAAGCAAAATGCAGCATTAGGCAATCTTATCAAGCTCCACTTTTTACCCCATACTTTCTCAGATTTTTGTTGATAGTTTATTGGGCATAAACACAAAGCAACCTAGAATGTTTTTCTGAAGGAAGTAAAGCATATAGAAACCCCCTATTGAAGCAACCACCAAGCATGTATACGAGTTGGCCAATATCATTCCACTTCAGAGTTCGAAAAATCGAGAACAAATGTTCTGCTTAATACGCAGTACTCTATCGCTTTTCCTGGTATTTACTTGAATCGAAATTCAATCCCAATTCCAACATTATGGCAGGAGTTTAACTCTCAATTCAAAGCCCTAATTGTTACCTTCAAATCAGCCCCAGCACAGAACGCCTTAGGAACAGAGCTAGAGATCATCATCACGTTGGCATCACCGTCCATCTCAAGCGTCTCGAAAGTATGCCTCAACCCTCTCAGCATCTCGTTCCCAATCGCGTTCTTAGTTTCCGGCCTGTGCAAATTCACCTCAACTATCCCTGCACCCAAACACATCCAGAAAATTGAGTTCTTCTCTGGGTTTCTTTCCCCCCTGCAAGCTTGAATCGAATCCCTTACCTGAATCGGCGTCCGAGAGCCGCCGCACCTGGACTGATCCCGACGACAAGGGCTCCAAAATCAGCGTCCTCCAGCTCTGGTACTGATGCAATTTGAAGGGTCTCGAATTCTTCTTCGAGTAATGGCGGGTCAGAGATCTCGTGACCATCCCCAGAGTTCCCATTTCTCTGCAGAGTTGTTCAATACTGAATATTTTTGATCGGATCCTGTGAGACGTTGGCCGTGGGTTAGTAAGGCGAGCAGCTGAATGAGTGTGACCAGGAGGGCGGCGGCGGGGGACTGTTTTGTAATATTCCAGGACTGAAAATTAATTATCTTTAGGAGTCGCGCGGTAATTTTACCACCAATTTCTCTCGAAAATTTCAATGGCGCCAAAAGGATCCCGGCGTTATATTTCGAAAAGCTGAAAACTTTTAGTTTGTGATTTCATTCTTATCCTGGTTTGGTTTCCTCTATCTACTTCCAGAAGCTCGCCCGTCTAATCGATGGAAAGTACGACTGATTGCCAAGTAAGGATCCTCGAATTCAATATCCTCTTTTCTCTATCTCCGTCTCATTTCTTCTGTTTGGTTCCTGAGGAACTTAAAACCCAAAAAGGTGCTGACTTTGGATATGGTAATGTCGACTTGCAGGTTTCCCACTCTTCGGATTCGCTCTCGCTTCGCAGTTTTTTTTTTCTTCTTTCGAATTGGGTACTCTATCTCTGGTTCAGACTTTTGTAATGCTGGGTTTTCCTCCTTTTGCTTGCAGAGCCTCCGGATTTAAGGAACTGGTTTTCGAGCTACCAATATGACTCTTTTGTTCTGGATACTTACGATGAAGCATTCAGAAGCCGAGGTCACAATGATCCCTCAGTTGTTGATGTTGCAGAGAAAATTAGGGCAAGCAATGATGGGAAATTGAGGGAACCCCTGGGAACTGTCGAATCCAGCGATGGAAGTGAGAGCCAGACTTTCAGCGAGGTAATAGAGTCTGAACCAGTATCAATCTCCAGACCATTTATCAGTTTTGGTTCTCGTTAGGGTTAGTATATCATAGTATGCCAACTTAGCTATCAAGTTTGTGTCATTGCCACCTCTTAATCAAGGGTTGAATTAAAGTGTTCGAGTTCAATAAGCTTTGCATTGTAGTAACTATTCCAACATGCGTGCTTATATTGACTACTCTCTGCAGGTGTTCTCATGTTTTGCTTATATGGACTTTCGTTTTTGTAGGCTCCAGAATCTTATACTCGCGGGCTTTCCTTAATGGTTAGTATTGTGAAATGCTATCATAGGAGTTCTTTCTTTGGTTTGAGTGGTTTCAGAGAATTCCTATCTGTTAGATAATCCATGTGGATGATCAATACAATTTGAATGGTAACATTTTCTCAACCGTCTGTGTTTTCAGAACGTAATCAACCCGGAAACTGGCTTTCGAGCAATGTGTCAGACTCTGCTGGGTTGGATCATGATGGAGAACTTGAGACACTTGGTATTTGGGAAATCAAGGCGATAAAGTGATTTTATCAAGGAAGGCATCAACCAAGAACTAAATTTTGAGAATTCGGAGAAGAAAAGTGAAGAGCCACTTGAAAAGCCACCTTCTTCTGTTGAGGTAATGGCAAATGAGTTCCTGTGTAGAGAAGGAAATGAAGACAGCCCTTTGACAAATGTGAGCTCTTTGTTACCCTTCCATCTCCATCTCCATCTTGAACCAGTATCAATCACTACTCTAGTTACCAGTTTTGTTTCTTCGTAGGGTACTCTTATCTTCTTGGTAATCATTTGGTGTTGCCATATTTTTCTTATATATGAACTTTCATTCTTGTAGGCGCCAGAATCTTCAGACTCGCCTGCTTTCATCAATGGTTAGTAGTCTGATCTGCTATAATATGATTTCTCTCTTTGGTTTTAAGGTTTCTTGCCAGACTGAAAATTTCAAGAGTTTTTATCAATTAGATGATCCATGTGAATCAGTATATGATAATGTGTGGTAGCTTGGTTTTTAATTGTTTTGTTTTCAGAACCCGAACACCCCGGAAACTGGCTTTCAAGCTATGTATCAGACTCTGGTGAGTTGGATCCTGATGATGAGCTTGAAGCTGCTGCTATTTGGGAAAGTTGAGGAAATGGAGATGGTTTTAGCAAGGAACGCATCAACAGAAAAGAGAATTTTTTAAGAATCTGGAGAAGGAACACGACGTGACTCTTGAAAAGCTGCCTTCATCAGATGAGTTCGTTGAAAATTATTGCCAGTTTAGGGAAGCAAATGTACACAGCCCTTTGGCAAAGGTGAGTACCTTGTTACCCTTCGTCTCCATCTTGAACCAAATGCAACATTACAGAGAATGCAGTTCTTTTGTCTTTGAAGTATGCTGCTTGTGTCCTATGTTGAGTTGTTCTGGAAGTTGCTAATGAACTTTAGCAATTCAAATGGTAGGGAGCTAATCGGACTCAGCTCTTATGACACATTGTTTATTGTTTCAGGATCCTCTTTCTCAGTCATCATCGGAGTTCCTATCAGGTAACTATCTCTAATGAAACTTCAATTGTCATTCACTTGATCGGAACTTTACCACAGTTGTTTAACTTGTCCTACACTTCTATGCTTCCAGAGCCGCCTGACATTAGGAACAGGTTCTCCAGCTATGCCGATGAACCTCCTGCGCCGGGTGAAGATGAGTCGCAGCGTAGAGAAGGCGGTTATCATTGACCAAGAAGGAAGTGAAGATGGAGAAATGAAATCTGAATGCATAGACATTGATCAAGGGAACATTGATGGGGAGTTCACACTTGATGCACTTCTTCATTGTGACAACTTCCCAATAAATCATAACCAGAGTCACCTCCCGCATTCACATATAGTACATGATTTCCCTTGTCTCCTACCTACTACTAAGTCAATTTCCAATCTTCTGTTTGAAATTAGCTTGTTTCATGATTCTGAGGCATATCAGTTGTAGAGAAGTCCTAAGACAATGAGTAGCTTGGAAGGCCACAACATTCAGAACAGTGACGAGAAATTTCCAGCAGAATTGTTGACTCCTAGTGAAGATTCACATTCATTTGAGAAGTCGAAAGCAGCAGAATCAGATGAAAACAATACCAAGTTAATCACAGTATCAGGCACTGGAAACACAGTTAGTGATCATGAAGCAAAAAATGCAGCCTTTTCTTCTTCTGAAAGTGGGTTTCTGACAACAAGGAAGAAGAACAGGATCACAAGACTGCACTACGACGAGAACCATTATCCCGGATCAAGGAATGTTGCACCAAAATGCTTCAAGAGTGAGAGGAGGAAGAGTTGTACATCAACATCATATGGTAATGCAGCAAAGGATGATTCATCGGGAAACAGAAAAGCGCTGTCTGAAAGAAGTCCAAATGTTGTGCAGCACAGTGAGGTAACCGGGAAGTGGAAATGCCCTCAGAGGAGCAAGCCTGTTATGGGACCTCCATTGAAGCAACTTGGTCTAGAAAAATGGTTGTCTAGGCTGTAGAGATTCTGCTTGCTTCTCTGAATGGATGGTTTGTTATTAGGCAGGGAAAAGAGTTAATTGGAAAAAATTAGGGATATGGGAATTGAACCCGACGTGAATCGAACACGCAACCTTCTGATCTGGAGTCAGACGCGCTACCATTGCGCCACGGATCCCTGTGTGATTGACAGGTCCTCAGAGCATGACAACACAGTATATTCATGGGTAATTTCTTCGATCCTTCCGAAGCAAGTAAACTATGGACCAGATTTGGTGACATGATCGGATAGTCAATGAACTTGAATTGATGGATTTAATGTACTGAAACAGCGTCACAATGGATCAACTACTTTATTAGAATTCATTGATTCATCCGGTCGTGCAAGAATGTCAAGGCGCTGCTATAGCAGCTGGAAGTTGTCAAGGTCCTTGAACTTGTCTATTGTTGTGTCTTGCAGTGTCGTCTACATATTGAATGTCAACAGAGAAAATACGTCACCTTACTATGTTTACATATTAGTACGTAGATTTGTACGTAGGATGGCAATGGGTCGGGTTTTGTCAAACCCAAATCCATGGGTTTATCCACAAAAAAACCCGAGGTAAAACAAGTTGGGTTTGAAAAACTCAAACCCAACCCAACCCGCTGGGTATCCACGGGTTCATGGGTACCCATGGGTTTTATGGTAAAAATTTACAATAACAAGTTTCTTTCAAAATAAAAGTTTAACATCATTTTCTCATACAAATTAATCATACAAAAAACACCAATCTAGAGCATACAAGCAAAGCGCAAATGATCAATACAAATTATTCAAAATTAAAGATAAACATATATAAATAATAAGATTAATTGAAAGTTTCTTCCTCGTCAACTAAGTTTCTTCACTCTCCATTTCATAATATCAACTTCATTCTAAACAATTAGAAAGAACAAATTATACATGTCTCCACAAACATATTGATATTAGTTGTTTAAGGAAGATAGATTATTTAGAATATTAAATATACCGGGAAAGTAATTATATGTGTGTGGGCGGGTACCCATCGGGTGGGTTTACCTAAACCCAAACCCAACCCGACCCGGTGAATAGTGTAGCGGGTTTAAACCCGAACCCGGCCCAAAACCCGTCAACACCGGTTTTACCCACATTGACCGGGTTGGGTCGGGTGGGTACCCGTGGGTTCGGGTTTTGTTGCCATCCCTATTTGTACGTGCTTTCAACTTTGGGGAATTTGCTGCCACAGAATTAGGGATGACAATTTTGCCCATACCCATGGATTTTTTACTATCCAACCCAATTGGGTTGGGTATGAAATCCAAATAGATGGACATGGGTAGACTTTGATGGGTTTGTACCCATACTCATTTACTTTGGGTTGGGTTGGGTTTATAACAAATGAATTTGGGTTTGTACCCATGCCCAAATACAAATTACAGTTTAGTACCTAAACTTAATAAATATGCATATTTAGTACCTAAAATTAATTTTTTTTGCATATAAGTCCTCAAAAATCGATGGAAAATTAAGTTTTGGTACCTAAATTTTTTTTGTCTTACATTTTGGTACCTAAAATTTTCAAGTTTTACAAATAGGTCCAATTTTTACATGTGTAGTTAAAATACCATCAAGTAAATGGATATCCATATCCAACCCATATCCATTTAGATTATGAAAGCAATATCTATACCTTACCAAATCCATCTACAAACTCCCAAACCCATATGCACTTCACCCATACTCAACCCATTATCAATGGGTCTACTTGGGTTTGGGTATAATTACCCATGGATGGATAATTGCCATCCCTACACAGAATGTCAAAGGCACTCAGTTAAGGAAAGAAAGGTTTGATAAGAGTTGAATGAAAACTGCGGTAATTGATGGGATATAAACCATTGATGTTGATTTAAAGGTTTTTTTATAGGGTTAGTTAGACCGGATAAATTGCCCTTCTACTTTTGCATTTTCATAAATATGTCATTCTATTATTTTTTATGTCATGTTTACCACCTATTGTAATTAGGTTGTTAAAGCCGAACCGAGCCGTCCAATCCGACCGACACCCAACCTCTAATCCAGCTCGGTCAGACTATTTAACAGCCACGGATTAAACTATAGCTTTGTGAGCGAACCGATCGATTAACCGGATGGACCTTTTGAGCAGCTCATTCGGTTTTACTGATCGGAATATCACCTAACTAAAAATATGCTGGAAAATGAACCCAACACCTCATAGTGCCAAGCTATGCCTTCTTCCAATAAGGCTGGCACCTGTTTGTGAAACAAAAGCTTTAAAGTCTATTTATTAATTCATCGTTTAATTTCAAAAAATAATCATTCATAAATAGGTTTTCGCTATTGAAAAAACACAACTACTATACTTAAATAATATATATTTATGTAAAATGATATTTTTTACTTGTGATATATAATTTTTTGTTAGGAATATATTAGCATATTTTTATAATTATAATTAGCATATTAATGGTTACTACTTATAAGGTAAAGACTGGTGTACGTCAGTCTGGCGTGTAGTATACAGCAAGTGATCTAACCGTTAGTTGTACTTAGATGAGCCTCGACTGATCTCAACGGTCAATTTTTGTTTTCCATTAAATCAAACTTCGGGTTGGGGTTTACAAAATCGGTGTCTGGGGTTTATCCATTAGAGGTTAGGGTATAGTATCATACCACAAACTCAATTTAATTCATGGTCCACATACAGATATCTCACTAGTAGTACCTGATGTATAGTATACGCCTGACGTACGCCAGTCTGACCCCTACTTATAACAAATTTATTTATTAGAAACCGATTCATTAACGGGTTTATAGCGTCTTAATACTGGTTAAACCAATAAAGTGTAAGCCACTTACTTTGTTGGTTCATATACCGGTTCGGTTCTGACAACATTGATAATTACGTTATCAAACATGTCCTTCCGTTGATTTTTCCGTCCAAACTCCATGAACGATGATTGAACCAATTATAGGATAAGGTTAAATCAAAATTTTGCCCCTCCATGTATTTTTGAAAATTATTAAATTAAAATAACTCAACAAAAACATTTAAAAAAATCAGCAGCGGACCCGCTACCCACCTCCGTGTGTCCCTCCATAGTCTCCAGCGACAACATGACGACTAGAGCTATGAACAACAGTGGATCTTGGGTTGGATCCACCCTAGGCCATGACTAGGGGTGGAAATCGATACGCTATCGGTATCACAATACCAAATATCGAAATCTCGAATACCGAATTATATCATAAATTCAATCCCAATCCCAATCCCAATCCCTAAATAATTTCGGTATCCCAATCCCAATCTCTAAATATTTTGGTATCTCAACGGTATTATCGAATAATAAATTAATTACCTTTGCAATTAATTATTAAATATATAAATTGGATTTGATTGTTTAATATAGGACAAAGAGAATAAGCAAAGAGTTTGAGTTTGGCTAGAGATAGGATATGGATAAGGAGAATGGAGGAGAGGTGACATCTCAAGTTTTTGTCATTGGTAATCTTTAATTTGATGAATTGGAGGCTGAGAGAAGACTAATACTAGTGTTTGTTTTTTGATGTTATGAAAATAACAATAGATTGGTCGTTGAGGGTCGTGTAGTAGTGAATGAGAGAGTTTAGTTGAGAGCATAAAATACACATTAGCTTATATTTCGGTATTGTTCGGTATTTTTGTATATACCGATCCCAATTTCGTAATCCCTAATACCGAATAACAATTGAAATTGAATCCCAATCCCAAGAAATAATACGTATATTCAGTAATACCAAATATAGACAAATTCGGTACGGTATTCGGTATATCCCAAATACAGGTACTAAACTTCCAGCCCTAGCCACGCCCATGAGCTGGATAGTGCTTATAAAATGTTTGATTTTAGGTATTCGGCACAGTGTTATTTAAAAGTCGGTCCAATTTTATTTGATAATAGGATTTTTCGTAATTAGGAAAATAATCCAAACGAACATATCCAAACTACTACTGTGAATTTAGACTAAAAATTCTAGCCCCAATGATTTTTATTTGAAAAAAAATATTAAAACCTAAAAGTCTAAAACGTAAAAGTATAAAATTATAAAGTTACATTGAAATTTTTTTAAAAAAACCTCTAAACTATAGTTCACCCTTCCCAGCAAAACTCAAAAAATTTCTCCAACACTTTTGATTCTTTCTCAATGAAACCCGAATTGTTCTGATAAAAATAGGTTTAAGGCGGGTGCGATCATATCAACACTAATGCATCAGGTCCAATTAGAACTCTGAAATTAAACATATTTTTTGGTTAAAAAAACACATGATAATTTGAATTTTATTAGTACTTTTATGCTTGCATTTTAACCACAATGTATGATAGATATATTCATTAAACTTATAAGTTAATTTTTGTTTAAGAAAATCTTCTAATGAATTAATAGAATAATGCTTGTGTCCAAATATTATGTTGCAGATTGCTTACTTTGACTTGAAGAGTGTGACACACGATTCCCATCAATTTAATCTCTCCAATTATTTACATTGTTTATATAGGGGACTGGATAAGATGTTATTAGTGTTAGCACGCTGCTAACAAATGATATAAAGGTAGAATAGTAACTTTCTACGTCCCCTTCTCCCTTCCCAATTAGAACTCTCCGCTCCCCTTTCCATGGCGTTTCTCGGCATTAAAAAATCAGAGATTTTTGCAGGAGTGAGGGTAAAGAATCGAATCCACGCAGTTGACGAAGCGGCGCTATTCTTCCGACTTCGTGTATGCTACCTTCATCCATACTCGCGTCATCGATAGATCGCCACAGGTTTTGCCACTGCCTGCACGAGGCTGCTGCATTTCACCACTTCATTCATTGTCCTCAGACGAGAGACAATCTCCACTGCTACTTCATCCGACAGCTTCGTGGATGGATCAATTGTTGATCTCCGCTGCTCCTAGTTCCACAGCTGACGACGACGGAAGTTTCCTTGGTATTTCTTAGCACGAAAAGTAGGGCTAGCTATTTGGTCCAGACTTTTTGGTTTTACCCGAAACTGGATCGTATAACCCGGATCATCGAGATTGGACGGGGACCGGATAGCAAACAAGATCGGACGGGGACCATATGGTAACTTCTTCGTTTTTAAATCGTTTTTGAAAACGTTTGCTCAGAAGGAACGAGTTCATCGTGATCTATTAGATTTATAAATTTCTGGGTGAAAAAAATACTGGATAAAAAATTACCATACTTTACCACTATGGTATGTGGGTGGTAACTTGGGCTCAAGATGTAAGGAAGGAGAATTAAAGA